CCCCTGCATCGGCAGGCGGAGTCTCAACCACTGCGCCACCAGGGAAGCCCTAAAATTTGCTTTTATTATAGAAACTTGATTATAGAAGTTGTGAAACACATGTGAAGTTGGAGGGAGTAGTGTACAGGTTGCCCGTGCTCCAGCTTCAGGCGTCATTGTCTGTCAAGATCGTGCCAGTCTTGTTTCAACTCTTCCTGCCTCTGGATTACCTTAAAGCAAGTTGTAGAAATTACTGGGCTTTCTGTTATAAATACTTCAGGATACTACCCTAACCTGAGTGATAAGGATGTTATTTTAAAAACTATCTCCGTGTCGCCGTCACACTTAACAGAATTTAACAGCAATACTTTGTTCGTATTCAAATTTCCACAGTTGTAATGACGTTGCTTTTTGCTTAAGCACATGACTTTAACTTTGCTTCTTTTTACTTTTTCTTTGCAAAGAATACTTATCGAGATTTCCAATAGATGATTTTCTTTTTTAGCCAATAGTCCAGAGTAACTTCCTTTAGTTCTTCCGTTGTCTTATTTCTTTATAGATTCTTGCTGGGCCCTAAGTCTTATTTGCTACATTTCCCCCTTTTTTCCTTTCATTCCCTGTAAGTTTTGTGAAAGGCGTAGCGTGCATACAGGGAAGTGCACGACAAATCAGTCATAAGCCTCCTCCAGCTTCCACAGGGTGGGTGCGCCCCTATCCTCAGCAAACAGTCATGGAGCAGAGGAGGGAGCCCTCCATCCTTTCTGCCACTGGTCCCTCCGGAGGGTTCCTCCCCATCCCTGTGCCGTGTCCTGTGTGGTGATGAGAACTAACGTGTCCCTGTGCTGCGTCCTCTGGGCAGGCACTGTTCCGAGGGTTTCATGCGTATTAACTCACCTGGCAGCAGGCCCGCCGGGTAGGCCGTAAGGCTGCTGTGGTCGCTGGGCCTCCCAGGCAGCCAGGCTCTGAGACGGGCCGGCTCCCCTCTGCCGTGGTCTCAGCTGCTGCCTGCTGTCAGCTTTAGGCCCAACCCATGCAGCCCACGAACATGCCCCTCACCACCACCCTGGTCTGATAGTTATTTTCTTGCATTTGTTTTGGATTTTTAAAATTTACTTATTTAAAATTTTATTTTAAAGATAAAATAGTGTTGAAGCACCCTGTGGCCCACTGCTCTGTCGCAGCCCCTCCCCTTCTTGGGAGGCTCGTTGGCACATCTGTGGTGTGTTTCCCTCTAGTACACATGAGACCTTTATAGACACGTGTATCTGTGAATAGGACATATTTGTGCTTTATTTTCTGATTAAGTGGTTAGCATGCAGGATGCTTCGTTTTGCAGCTCTTCTCAGAGAGTGTGTCTGTGAGAAAAGTCCACGTTGATGTTTATAGAAATATTTTGTGCATTTTAACTGCTGTGTTATTTTCCTCATGAATATGCTACATTTTATTCTGTCTCCTGGTGTTTCCCAGTTTGTTTGTTTTTTTTAATTTATTGGTTGATTGCTGCGCGCGGGCTCTCTCTAGTTGAGGTGAGTGGGGGCTACTCTTCATTGAGGTGCACGGGCTTCTTATTGCTGTGGCTTCTCTTGTTGCAGAGCACGGGCTGTAGAGCACAGGCTCAGTAGTTGTGGCACGCAGGCTCAGCAGTTGTAGCTCGTGGGCTGTAGAGCACAGGCTCAGTAGTTGTGGCGCACGGGCTTAGTTGCTCCGCGGCATGTGGGATCTTCCCGGACCAGGGCTCAAACCTGTGTCCCCTGAATTGGCAGGCGGATTCTTAACCACTGCGCCACCAGGGAAGTCCATTTTCCCAGTTGTTATTTATTACAAACAACGTGCTGTGAACATCCTAGTGCACATCTTTCATCCCTAGTGAGAATGTCCCCGGTGTGTAGCAGTGTGGAGAACACGCGCATTTTCTGTCCTTGTGCGCCGTACGGTTCCCAGTCCCTGGTCTGCTCCGTAGTCACCCTCGGTCACGTTCTCTTACTTGCGAATTCGTGCCCACTGAGAGCTGGGGAGGTGATCTTGATTGAACTTGTATTTCCTTGATTATTAGCAAGATTGAGCATTTTTTCGTACATTTGTTCTAACTTCATCATTCTGTTTCAATGTCCTTATCGGTAAAAACAGAGATGAGGATGTCTCTCGCAGTTGTTGGGAGAACGGGATGCGTTAATAGAAGTAAAAGAATATTGAACAGTAGCTAACATGTAGTAAGGACACAGTGAACTTCAAATTTTTATCTTGTTATTGTAAAATAAAATCAGACAGAGGAAGTAAAGAAGTAGCATGAGGAATCATTGTAACATCCTAGTACTCGCTGCTCAGATCAAAACTACAAATTTGCCAATTACCCCACGAGCCCCTCTGTTTGCCTCAGCCCAGACACAGCCTTCTCCCTCTGCCAAAAAGAAGCACTGTCTCGACTTTTATGATAATCACTTCCTTGTGTTCTTTGTTGCTTATCACTCAGGTGCGGCCGGGTGTAAACGTTGTAGTTTAATCTTGCTCGCTTTTTAAGGCTGCTGAGTCTGCATCCTGCCCCCCCACCCCTGCCTTTCCTGGCCTCACAGTTTCACTGTTGAAGGACCAGACCCTTTGACCGTCACCGACCGCCCTGGTGCAGCCCAGCATGTTCCTGTGTTCACCGCAGGCTGGCATCTGGATCCAGGGACCTGGTCACACTCAGGACCCCCAGTTGGGCATGTCTCTAGGTGTTGTGCTTTCGTCAGGAGGCACCTGATGTATAGCTGCCAACGGTGCTCAACGCCGAGATCCACTGATACAGTGTGGATTGCAAAAAAGAGCTCTTTAATTCTGTCAGTTCATTTACTAGCCGAACGTTATAGAGACATGCCTTTCCTTGTCTACAATTTGGCTATCTAGTGGTACAGATCATATGGAAAAGGCAGGGTAACGCCGGACTTTTCTGTTTTGTTTCCTTGGTTTCCAAGATAGCAAATTGGTTCTCTTTCATCCTGAGGTGATAAATTGGCTTTTAAAAAATATTTAATATCCATATGGACTGATGGATTTAAATATATTTGATGAATTTCAGTCCATGAATATTCTGATCTTTTTCTTTTTTTTCTTTGTGGTACGCGGGCCACTCACTGTTGCCTCTCCTTTTGTGGAGCACAGGCTCTGGACGTGCAGGCTCAGGGGCCATGGCTCACGGGCCCAGCCGCTCCGCGGCATGTGGTATCCTCCTGGACCGGGACACGAACCCGTGTCCCCTGCATCGGCAGGCGGACTCTCAACCACTGTGCCACCAGGGAAGCCCAGATTCTTATCTTTATTGAGACTCAAATTGTCTCACCCTTGTCAAGTGGGAGCTTCTTCAGGTTGGCTCCCACATCCTTTTGACACAGCCCCAGGAGTCACGGTTTCCCACAGTCATCTGCATTCTTCCTACCCCAGACCTGAAGGCACCCAAGTCTCCAAGAAGCCCTGGTTTCTTTTAATGGGA